TCATCACTTCTCTTTCAGTTCTTCTGAAATTTGGAAATTCTACACTTCCAAAAACCCAATACTCCCGGAGTATTGAGCGTTTCACATTTTTATATTTACTTAATTATCATTTTACCATTGCATTTTAAAAACTAGATATTTTTCAGTCTGTTCATAAACTTGAAAGAAAGAGCATTAAAGCTTTATATAAAATTGTCCATCTTTTTTTCGTATTTTTGTAATTAATTAATAAAGTATTTATTTTTAAAAAATAGTTTTGCCTACGGAAAAACTATGTCATAACTTGTCCGAAAATCGGCGTTTCAATAATACTGTCTTTGGACCAATAGTCTTTTATTTTATTCTTTTTAACTAAAAGCGTAAGTAATGAAAGCCCCAGAAACACATACATTTCATCGACGTCTACAGCTCTGTGATTTTTCGTAGCTCTTTGTGGATTATTTTCAATAAACAAGTCATAGAATAGGTTTGTTTCAAGTCATACAACGTTGGGACTAAATCAGATATTTTCCACTCAAATTTTGGATCGTCGTCGGCTGTCTTCTGTTTACTTGGTATACTATTCAACGGATCATTCGCATCGTCCAATATGTCGACCTCAATTTCTTGCTCATCCGCGAAAACACTATCTGAGACCCAGCCATCATCGCTTTCAGAAGCGTCAAAACAATCGTCCTCACTATCACTATTCATTAAAATTTCATACAATTCTTGTTCTGTATAATACCCTTTGCGGGAAGTCATTGTGGTATCTAAACTAAACAATATATGTCAATTTTTTGTCATAAAACTAAAGCAACACTCAAATAAACATGAAAAAGTAATGAAATTACATAACAGGATATTATTGACATATTAGAAAGGCTGTAAAATTATCACCAATAAAAAACTTGCTGTAGCAAGCAATTTTACTTGTAAATGAATAATGCGTTTGAATTTCCAGTCTAAACAATTCCTTTATGTATTTAACATGAATCATTTTTCATTAGAAGGCTGTAAAATTATCACTGATAAAAAACTTACTGTAGCAAGCAATTTTACTTGTAAATGAATGATTTGATTTGAATTTACAGGAATTCCCCATCTAAACAATTCCTCTACATATTTGACTTGAGTTATTTCCTGTCCACTGACTACAGTCGTTTCCTGCCGCGAAAGGGTTAAGGTTGAAAATGTTCACTTTCAAAAAATTAGTATAAAAAACCAGGATTGAAATTGTTCTATTGAGGATAAATCCCTTTTTTACATATGGAAAGAATGGGCAATGAAAACTGTATCAATCCAAATTAAATGTAATACCATCCAAAACAATATTTCTACACTTCCAACTCACTGCACACCAGTAAAAAATTTCCAATCAAACATCTCTTGTAGTATTGGACTCAGAGTTCAGATATATTGTCTGATACTGAGAAGAGATCTATTAATACTCCTGAACCAAGTACATCACATGTGCACTTGAGAGAGTTCATGCAAAGTTCCTACTCCACTTAAGAAAGCACTGTTTTGGCAGACTCAAAACCTCAGATATAGAAGAGAAAACTAAAGGAAAAGATTCCATCAGTGGTAACATCAGAAGCTTGCATGAAGCTCACTTAAAGAAAGAAAAAAGAACAAGAAAGAAGAAGAAAAACCCAAAGAAAAATTGCAAGAGAGCAAAAAGGTCTATTGAAAAAGAAGCAAAAACAGGACATTTCTGATGATGATGGAAGGATGAACAGTGGGTCGAGATTGGTAGCAGCTGTGACGACATAGACTTTTATGAAGAACCTTACAAATAATTTTGCCCACTAACTCATGGAGAACTTAGTGTGGGAAACTATGTACTCATGAAATTCCTAGGCGACAAAAGAAAATCCATAGCATACAGATATGTTTGTATTATTCAAGGCCTTATGGACAATAATGATATACAAATAATCTCTACGTAATATTTTAGTGCTGAAAAGAATACTTTTATTTGTGATGAAAAAGACATCTCTTTTGTTAATGAAAATTGTATTTTAGGCATACTGCCAACACCTATTATTTTATCCACTTGTGAATGGATCCATTATGAATTTACTTTAACAGTGAATGTATTTGAGGCCTAAAACCTGTGGAAAACACTAAAGTAAAATTCATTAAGCGATGCAGGAAGATGTAAACATTAAATCGTGTCTGAACCTATATGAGCTGCTGAAAACTTCGGCAGACAAAATAAAGATGGACATTTCGGTTAGTTTTTAAATATTTTTGAAGAACTGTTACTTGCATTTATGCATAAAATATTCATTAATTTTATAAATCGGATTATTTTTTCACTTACTATGTATTCAGTGATAACATTAATTTATTTACTTTGCAATAAACATGAATATTTGAGAAAAGAAAAAAATAATAAAGTGTCATAATTATACTGTTACTTATCGGAACGGGTAGACTCATTTGGAACATCTTTAACAATTATCTGTTAAATTTATCGTTGTTTATATGCCCTGCATCGCTTAATGAAATAAGGTATACATATATAGTTCAATTTATTTTTTCTTATTTTCTATATCAACACATATTTTACATGGGAAGGCTTCAGTATTTTATTAATTATTTTAGTTTAGATTTTTATTAATATACAAGATTTTTCAGTAAAATGTCGTTATGTATTTATAGGCAATGACTGGGTGACAATAATCAGTATTTTGAAAAATTTCATGGCAATTATTTGTTTTTTGTCTTTATAAAGTTTTTAGCTTTACCTTTCTTATAGTGGCATTGATTGGTCATTATCTTACATGCTTAAAAGATGTACCTATCATTAGCAACCAGAGTGATTATAGTAATTGCCATATGTTCCATCTCATTACGATGAAAAAATGAATTATTTTAATATATGTTTAAGGACGATTTTCACATTTGGTCCCATTGAAGATAGCTTCAAATTAGCTGTCAATAAGTTTCACAGAATGAAATATTGCGTTGGCAGTGTTGCCATGTTCTTATAATGTATATGTTATATGCTTCAACACACAAAGAGATAAAGCTTTTAAAAGGTACATTTTTATAATATTATTTTATGGATTCTGCAATTTTATACCTTATATAAAATATTAATGAAGTAATATTTGTTTTGTTTAATATTAGTTGTAATAAATTATTAGAAATTTTTTTTGGCAATTGCCCTTTGATAGGTTAGCGGATAGATTTGGCAATAGAGTCAGAACCCTCAAACCACCAGCTACCAGATTGCAACAGATACCTTTTAAATTTTATTATTTATACTAACATTTTACTATTTACTGTTAAAAACTGTTTTAAAACTATTTACTTTTTCTTATTTTCGTAATCGTTACATATTAGTTTTTAAATATCTTATTGCTTTTAATTGCGTATGTTTCATTTGTAATGTAAATTTCAACACTGCGAAACACCAATATTTCATTCTGTCAAACCCATTTGAAGCTAACTTCAATGGGACCAAATGTGAAAATCGTCCTATGTTTAATTAGTCTGTTCTGCTTTAAGTAGTAGAATGTTAAAAAATAGCGTAAATAGTGTTTCCCCGGTTTCCTTAATTTTTACCAAACTTAATTTTATTTTATAACTCAACAGACTATAATCAAGAGCAATTTAGGATATACATATCACCATGTAAAGTCACCTTAATTAAATTCCTTTCATGCCTAGAAATCATAGAATAATTAGGGACCATTTTTTTAACACTCCTTATAAAAACAAATTATTATATAATTCTTGTTACTTACCCTAAAAGCAGCTAGAGACAGTTTATATATTTTATAGTGCATGTTTCTGTTATCTATTTGGTATCCCATGTCTTTGTAAAGTTTTAATTGTGAGACAAAACCTGGATTAGGAAAAACTATTTTTCTTTTGGCTTTTACCATATCAAACGCCTCAAAGTAAGTCATCTGGTATTTTTTCATTATATGGGCAATAACAACAGTGGCACTTCTAGAAACACCAAAATAACAATGCACCAAAACAATTCCCTTCTCCATCCCTTCCTTAATAAATAAATCTGTTTCATCAAAATATGAAAGCAAGTCTTCTCTTGGTTGGTCTGATAACTGTATAAATCTGGTAACTAAATTTCTTTGTTCTGTTACAGTCCGTGGTAATGGACATATATCTATAGTAAGAATATGAGTAATGTTGTACTTCTTTAGAACCTCCAAATTTTTCGCAGCTGCTAATCCTCCTAAATACAAATTATCTTCTATCATGCTAATACTCACAGGTCCCAGTTGCACATCAGAATTATCCATTTCTCTTTATTTGGTTGAAAATATTACTAGCTAAAATATTAAAACTAATTTTGGCACAAGATTAAAGTTACTGCTTATTTTCAAAACTAATGAACTAAAATATCAACAGCAGATTTTATTTATAACGTCATCTGATATTGCGGTTACATTTTTCATTTTATAGCCAAGCATTTTTGCGTCTTTGTAATATCTGTAATTTGAATTTATAGTTATTTATTTACACACAGGTAAACAAAACAACTGTTGTATTGACATTGACAATCAAATGTCATGCACATGCCAATCGCCTATCTCTAGTAATGGATGTGGGCCCTTTACATTCATTAAATTATAATAAAACATTAAACCATAGTGAAAATATATATTTATATTACATAAGTATTTTTTCTTAACACAACTTGAATCGATGTCAATATCCATTATATTTCCATAACAAATTGCATTCATTGCATCAAAACACTTGTTTGATCAATGAATCAGATTCAAAAATATTTATTTTACATAGTGCTATTCTCCTAGTTGGATAGATGGCGGTACTTTTGACGTTTAAATTTGTTCAATTTTGAGTGGGTAGAGGACACGAGAACAGTACAGAACTAATACAAAACAACCGTCCAAGAATATTCGTTTTTGACTTCTGTTTTATTAGGTTAAAAATTTTGTTGGTCGAATATAATTTCAAAACGGAATAAAAAATCTCTGGAATGAAAATAAACCTTCAGTTTATTTATAGAAAAAATGAGGAGGCGGAATGTAGATAATAGGAAGCTATTAAAAGTAATAGTAAATTTAGATTTTGGCAGAGTCTCCTTTAAACTGCAACTACCAGCTCCTAAAATGTCAGTGCTGTCAAGAATATCGTAAGTAATTCAAATATTTTATTCAAATATTGGTCCGGTTTATTATTTTAGGGAATAGTACTGTTGTTTAATATGGATCGCAGGATTTATAGGTAATCAGGAATTTCTAAATTATTTTATAGATTTTGTCTGAAATTTAAAATGCTCTATAATAATCTATACAAATGGGCTTTAAATGATCTTTTTTAGTCGTATTTTGTGTAACTACCTGTTTCATGACTTATATTAGATACTAAGTACATTTAACTTTTTAATCTTAATGAAATATATATACCTACTAATTCACTTTAACGGAATCGTGAATGTGCATTGTCTAATGCATAGAAAAACCTATTTATAACTTATTCTACTTATAAGGAAATTCTTTTTAAACTGAAGTTCAAGGAAGATTTTTTCTATGAAATAATTTTTTAATTGGTTTAAAAAAACTATATTATGATCTTGATATGCTTTGTTATTTATTATCTAATCTAATAATTTATTAATCCGTTTTTTTTTCAAAATACCATATGGTCTTAAATGTTACTTATTCTTTAATTGGTTAAAAGTTCTATTTCAACTTCGGAAATTGAAATGTCAAATAAACTTATTTTCAACTTAAATTCTGATTAATTCCAAATAAAGAGAGTAAATAACATAAAAATGACAAGAAGGAAATATGTTATTCAAAATTTTACAGGAAAATAGTTTTAAAAAATCCTAAATTGTATGTACAAATTTTATGTACAATAATGTAGCTATGTTAGTAAACAATATCGATTACAAAAACGATTCTGTATTATCAACTTCTCCTTGATAAAATAATGTTTCTTCCTCTATCATATTAGACAGGCCATTCACGTTCAGACTTTTAGTCTGACTAGTGGTCCAACTTCTGCAGTTGGATCTGAAATCGGACCGTGAGTGGGCTAGTTGGATTAGTTGAACAACTAATGGTACAAGTCGGAACATCTAGTGGGACGACTTGAAGGTCCGACTGGCGACGAAGTCGGAGCGTGAATGGTGAAGTTGGAAGTCGGATCACAGGTTGGATGGAAAATTTACTCAGTCAGTTGACCTTCGGCACTTGTTACGTATGAGATATCTATAAAATACTTTACAACAAAGATCTCTAGTTCGCGAATATTTAATAGAAAATAAACTTTCAATTGCACGAAAATTACCTAATTTCTTAGGGCATATTAGGGCAATACCTAAAATTTTTTAGGCCAAATCATTTTCCTTTCTGTAGATCTATTTAAGATATTCCCATACAGGTACAATTTCCAACACTCCAGATTGGCTATAGAAGAATTATCAACAAACAACGAAAATTAAATCATAGTTGTATAGACGTAACTGTTTCCTTATATTTTTCTGAAGTTATTTTCTTGTGGCATCTTATGCAAATTTACTATTTTAATTGGAAATAAGCCTGAATATTAGTTAAAAATTAAATTTATTTGACAGTGAACTGAAGTTGGACCATTAGTTGGATAGCAAATCGGAGCATGAGTGGAGAGGAATATCCAACTAGTAGTCCTACCAAGTGGGACCCCAAGTCGGAACGTGAGTGGCCTACATTAACATGTTTTACTAGAGCCGTACAATTAATTTCTTACTAGTGGTGATCTTACTTATTTCTTGTGATGTTTGTAAGTTCTTTAAGGAAGATTTTATGTTTAATTTACATGTATGGGTTTTGTAACTGATTTTATTCCTTTCCAATAATTGCAAACTCTACTTTGATATCTTAAATATGAACCTACATTTTAGAGAACTTTTTGACAAAGGTTTGTAATGCTTAATAGACCAATTGTTCACATTTTGCATGACTGTCAAATTTAGAGAAAAAATTGTATTATTGTATATATATATATATATATATATATATATATATATATATATATATATATATATATAATACAGTAGTCTCTCTTTATAACGGTTCCCTATATAACGATAATTGCTCTATAACGATGAAAATAGTAAATGTTGGTTGGTTCATCATAACGACAATGTATTAATTCTTTCTCTATACCGATATCGTTGTGTTATTTTGTTTAACGTTCAGACTACCCGAGTCACGAGTGGCAAGGTGTATTGTCCAGCGGTTGTTTAGTTTTGCGAATTGTATCTTAGTGTGTCAACAGTCAATATGTTTTCGAATAAGTCTAAAGTGCTCTCGGTGGAGGAAAAGTTATTGATAGCTCGAGCAATAGAAGAAGGTGAAAAGCAATTGGATGTCGTTAGCCGTACGGGGCTATCTCAGTCTTGTATATTAAAGGACAGAAAAAGTGGCTTGAAGCGGAGATGGAGGGCGGTAGCAGGAAGAAGTTGCGGAAACCTCAGCAGCAGTGTATGAACCATATTCCACTTTCTGAGCTTGTGGTCAGGACAAAAACTGAGATCTTTGCAACGGAGCTTGGAATTGAGAATTTCAAGGCGTCTGAGGGTTAGCTAAGCAGGTGGAAGCTGCGGAACCAGATCTACAACTACGGGCAAATCAGCGGAGAAGCTCGCGATGTTAACAAAAACGTAACGGACGATTGGCTAGAAAACGTGCGATCTGGACTAAAGGCACGATACGCGTCAGACGACATTTTCAATGCTGATGAGACTGGATTATTTTTTAAAATGACATCAAACACACACACAAACCCACGTTCCTTTTAAAACACAAAAAAATCTACGGGGGACCTATAAAGCTAACAAGAGTGCGTGGATGACTGCGGAAATTTTTGAAGAAGTGATAATAAAGTGGGTTATCGAGCTTAAAGGAAAAAAATTCTTCTGGTTGTAGACAATTGTCCTGCTCATCCTGTACTGTGCGACCTTCAGAACATTGAAAAGCCATTACAGGAGAAGACTTTTGATGGAATTGGTTGGGAACAATGGCGATCTTAAACAAAACATTCTTGACACCATCCTAATGATTAGTAAATCTTGGGACGAGGTGATGAGCAATACAATAAAACATTCCTTCATTCACGCAGGATGGCTGGAAGATCAAGGATTGACTGATGATGAAGATGACCTACCATTAGATGTTTGGGCTAGACAGTTTGAACTTACTACCACCTACGGACTGGAAGAGCTAAACAGTAGTTCGTGTAGAAGAAAAAGAAAACAGTGACCCGAAAGTGGAAGCAGAGTCAGAACCAGCTCCGAGCCCTCAGCAGGAAACCAACGTCACTCTCAAATCTATATAAAGTAGCAGGTTTTGCAGAACCCTCAACACGCAGAGGCGTTGCAGAGCACCTAGAGAAAATGAAACAGATCGCGGACGAACGGCATGCCCTACACAAGGCTCGAACACCACGAAAGTGACTAAAATCCAGGAAAAGATTTCTTGGAACAGTGCAGGATGAATTGCCTGAGTATATTTCTCTTCCCCATGTTCAATGGGCCAGGGGTCCCTAGATTTTAAAACTTGGAAAACTATAAATAGGAAAAGAACGGGGGTCGCTCCAGTAAATTCAAACATGGCAGAATGGGGAAAATAGACCAAGATGTTGTGAACTGTGACTATAAAGTAATGGAACATCTTCTTACATTCAGAAACTGTTCTCATTATGAATGACATGAATGTCCGGACACGATAAAAAAAGCAGGCATTAAATGCGGCAAAAGTACTGCATCGATTCTTCATCCACCAGGAAGACGATATAAGTGCCGTGGAAGATTCTATGTGTCTTCAGGACATGGTCAGGTCAGTTCTGTGGAAAGGGAAAAGAAAACAGACCAAGGTGAAAGACTTTTTTGGTAATGTAGGCTAAATATATTTTACAGTAGCATATTATTTTGTTATTGTACAGTCATCATCATCATCACTGGCTCGACAACCCTTTTTGGGTCTTGGCCTGTTCAAGGATTCTTCTCCATTCTGACCTGTTTCGTGCTTTTTTTTTCCAGTTTTTAATTTTTAATGTTGTTATATCATTTTCTATTTGTTCTATGTATCTCAGCTTCGGTCTTCCTCTTGTTCTTTTTCCTACTGGCACTTGTTTGAATATTTTGTTTGGTATTTCGCCTTCTTCCATTCTTTCCACATGTCCAATCCAACGTAGCCTTCCTATTTTAATGAATGTTATGATATCCGGATCCTGGTATATGTTGTATAGTTCAAAGTTATACCTTCTCCGCCAAATCCACTTTTCTTTTGTGCCCTTATATATGTGTCGCAAGATTTTTCTTTCAAAGGTGGCTAATAACGTTTCCTCCCTTTTAGAGAGTGTCCAGGTTTCTTAACCGTATGTGAGTACCGGTCTTATTAAGGTTTTGTATATTTGGCATTTTGTTTTTCTGGAGACGTTATCTGATCTTAGTTGCCTAATTAAGCCATGGTAACATTTATTGGCAATAAATATTCTCTTCACTTCCTCTGCAACGTTGTTATCAGACGTAACTAGGGATCCTAAGTATGTAAAGTTTTTTACCGCCTCAATGTTACTGTACAGTACACATGTTTTAATTGTATTTGTCATTTTTTTATACTGTATTGCTTATGTTATACTCCATTCCACGAATATACAACTGTTTTAAATTTGCTTTAAGGTGTCGACTTAAATGGTCCAATGTGCTGAATTGTACAATGGTAAATTCTCACCATTTTTAAAATACTGTTATGACAGATATACACCTTAGATTTAAATATGAAGTTATGATCTAAATATAGAATTGAGAGTTTATAGCATAGTTGTAATTCAGATTTTGAAGTATACTCGTATAATTACTCTCATTGACTTTAGTATTGTAAACAAGTTGGTTTTTGAATTAAGTGATTTAAATGAAGTGTAACAATACTTAAGCTAAATAGTTTAATTTATTTAGTCGAATATTCAATTAGTATTAAAAAAAAACAAAAAAACTTACTCTTACTCTTATTCTCCTAATCACCATTACAAACAAATACACTACAGTAAACTCTCTCTTAACGGACACGTCTCTTCACCGGACACCTCTATACGGACTGTTTTTAAAACTAAAATCAGTCGGCGATTTATGAAACTGTATATAAATTTTCGATACTTTTTAATATCTGTAATGACTCGGTACTTTAACTATCAATAGCCGCCATGTTATACCCGTTACTTTCGGAACTTTTAAGAGTATATCCACTCAAAGCAAACAAAAAACTAACGAAGTGGAATACTAGATTCTTTTCCTGGTTTCTGAATCATCGTTCTGCCAATTTCTTTTTATTTATATTAAAAATATTATATTTCTTTTTATTACCGTTGTAGTACCTAATAAAGTAATAAAGATACCCGGCGCGCCTCTTTGGTGTTTACATTTCACCGAAATCCAACCCAAATGGCTGATGAACACATTTTAACTTCATAGTGGTCATTGTATTTATTTGTAGGAGCGTTTACGTAAATTTTTTTGTTATTTTTGGATTAATTTTCACAACAAATTTTGCGTCTATCTGAACATCTACTAACTGAAATAATTTTAGTTTATATGTAATAGTAACAGAAGATCCTTTTTTTATGGAATAATAATTAGACCAATTTACTTTCATACTTCTACTTGTACAGTAAAATATTCGTTGTAGCAATAATTCCAAACAGTCGTATATTCGTGGAATAACCTATATTCTTTACTAAATTTATGTGGTGTACAATACAGTGTTAATTAATTTTAATTTATATTCGTTTTGATAAAATTCTTAAATTAAAATAGTTTATTTAGGAAAGTATTATTAATACTACAGTACCGAATTTGGTCTCTCTCTGTATAACGATCTCTCCTTATAACGATGAAAATTCCCGGTCCCTTGCAAATCGTTATAGAGAGAGGACTGTATATTAATTCATATTACTGGAAGGGGGTGCTTACAATTTTTTCCTTTTTTTTTCTAAAACTTTTCAGAATGTCCAAATACATAGCCAGGTAGCATAAAGAAATAGCCCTCTTGTTGGAAAAATATGATAAATTTCTTTGAAAATGGTATTTTGTGCATAGCAAAGAAGCATGATCACCATGAAAGAATTGCCTATGCATGAGTGAGAGAATAGTTTTATCTGTGGTCCTTTAGTACAATCTATTTTCCTGTACTTAGTTTCAATTACATTTAAACATGGACTAGAACAAACTATTTGACCCCTTACCATCACCACTTTAATTTTCAGTCCAGGTATAATCAAATATTTTGTTTTTATTCTGTGTAGTTTCAATCACTGCAAATGTTAAGTTATACAACAACACTTGCTGCAGATAATACACATTTCAGCAATGGTTGATTTTATTGCATAGGAAGACATACTTTTACAATGTCATTTTTATGCAATTGAAATAGGACAAATTTAACTAATTTAAATCATGAATGTGTTGCTTGTGTGAGTCCATATCAAATAGGTAAAGAAATAATAATAAGACTTACTCACAATCAATTTAATTTAACAATCTGACGACCGGTTTCGCTTTCTACAATTTGCAAAGCATCTTCAGGTCGAGATACAAAGTTAAACTAATGCTGCAATAAAATAAACCCAATTAGGGTGGTGTCTCATAAAGATAAAATAAACAAATAAATTAGTTCATACAAATTATAGTAATTATGCCAATATTACATGTCTGTGGTTTTCAAAATGAATAATTTGAATATATAAAAGGTATTAACAGACAAGGTAAGACCCACAATTGGTATAAAGTAGCAATCTTATATTGTAATAAATTAATAAATGAGCAAATAAATAAAACAAAACAAACATTACTTACATGCCGGTACTCTATTAATTGATGGATGGTAGGTCATGGTTGCAAAAATCATGTATTGTTGATTGGAGAACTTTAATGTGCTATTGCAGTTGTTTTGACAATAAACGGGAAGTTCTTGAGGAGAACAGATTTGATCCAATGAATTAGAGATAGGTATATTGTGGTTGTTTGTCAGATGAAAGTGATGTTCTTTACTATTGTATTATTTAAATTATTTACACTTATATCAGAGATATATTTTTGGAATGTGTGTTATTTATTGAGTATTTATGTAATGAAGGAGACAGTTTTATGACAATGAATTAGAGTAGCTGTACCGATTGTGTGGTTGTGCAATTATTTTGACTTGTAATTATCAAGTCTATTGGCAAAATTAATAAATTATTGTAAAGTCAACTATGTAAAAGGTATATAAAAAGTATATAAAATTATTATAAATTAAGACGATCAGGGACAAATTAAACACACATTAACAGGAACAGAAACACTAAATGACGGGACAAACATTGAATTTAAAACTTAAACTTGGGGGATGGAAGAAACTGTAAGCACTACATCTCACTGTTGGAAGAAATGAGTTTTTTCATATTTAATCTATTAGATTTAAGAGGTAAATTTGACATATGTACACATATGCACACACTTCAACCTACATATGTCAAATTTACCTCTTAAATCTAATAGATTAAATATGAAAAAACTCATTTCTTCCAACAGTGAGATGTAGTGCTTACAGTTTCTTCCATCCCCCAAGTTTAAGTTTTAAATTCAATGTTTGTCCCGTCATTTAGTGTTTCTGTTCCTGTTAATGTGTGTTTAATTTGTCCCTGATCGTCTTAATTTATAATAATTTTATATACTTTTTATATACCTTTTACATAGTTGACTTTACAATAATTTATTAATTTTGCCAATAGACTTGATAATTATAAGTCAAAATAATTGCACAACCACACAATCGGTACAGCTACTCTAATTCATTGTCATAAAACTGTCTCCTTCATTACATAAATACTCAATAAATAACACACATTCCAAAAATATATCTCTGATATAAGTGTAAATAATTTAAATAATACAATAGTAAAGAACATCACTTTCATCTGACAAACAACCGCAATATACCTATCTCTAATTCATTGGATCAAATCTGTTCTCCTCAAGAACTTCCCGTTTATTGTCAAAACAACTGCAATAGCACATTAAAGTTCTCCAATCAACAATACATGATTTTTGCAACCATGACCTACCATCCATCAATTAATAGAGTACCGGCATGTAAGTAATGTTTGTTTTGTTTTATTTATTTGCTCATTTATTAATTTATTACAATATAAGATTGCTACTTTATACCAATTGTGGGTCTTACCTTGTCTGTTAATACCTTTTATATATTCAAATTATTCATTTTGAAAACCACAGACATGTAATATTGGCATAATTACTATAATTTGTATGAACTAATTTATTTGTTTATTTTATCTTTATGAGACACCACCCTAATTGGGTTTATTTTATTGCAGCATTAATTTAACTTTGTATCTCGACCTGAAGATGCTTTGCAAATTGTAGAAAGCGAAACCGGTCGTCAGATTGTTAAATTAAATTGATTGTGAGTAAGTCTTATTATTATTTCTTTACCTATTTAACTAATTTACCTTAAATGATATTTCATAAGGATTAAAGGTCACTGCAGCCTGCCTGATGACTTTAGCTCTTATATCATGACTTTTAACTATTATTGTTTTTAATAATAACATGCTCTTCCACATGAAAAATTTGATTTTCCAGTACTAGATTTTCTCTTTCTTTTCCGTTTGGGGTTGAAAAGATAAATTATGATGAATTTTCGGAAACCCAGTTTTTAATACTACATTTATTTTATACATAAACTGAAAAAATATAATTAAAAAATGAATTATTAATAATTGTCAATTTCGTATGTATTTAAAATATGTTTACGTCAAATTGAGAGGTCCAAAACTGAAGGCGGTAGGTGTCGCGTTAGTCACGCACGGAGCGAATAGTGGGCATTCATTTTATTTCTCGATGATATGGTTTACGCCGCTTTTTCAAGTAGTATTGTTTAATTAGTGTATTATATTATGGTAGTCGTATATTCTCCAGTATTTTTTCACTTATATCGAATGATTGATTGTATTTTTGGCATTGTCTTTTATGAATATATCAAATACACAATAATATGGAGATAATTCTAAGAATGTATATCACATCTTTTGTAAATATGATATCGCATATTTATTTTTTTAATTTGTTGCTTTTATGCTTTAGCTTGAGCGTGAATAATTGTTTACAGCTGAAAAATTGCTTCTTTTTGGAACTGAAAATTATTTTCAAAAGGTCTCCAAAAGACTGCTACAATGTTATTTGTATATTATGATATTATGTTAGAAATATCCGATAAAATAATTTAAATATGTAAAAACCCTCTGTTCACAAAAACTTACAGATGTTCCTTAACTATTTCGAAACCAAAGATTAATATAAAAATCCATGGTTTAGCCCTACAAATATAAAGATAATTACCGACCCTGATGTTAAAACCAGCAAACCAGTCAAGTGGCGACCATAAGGTGACCAGTGCCCTTATAAAATTTTATGTTGGGTTAAGTAGAACTTAGCAAACATGTACACAAGGAACATTAACAGAAAGACAGTAAAATAATTTTAAACAGTTATATTGTAAATATTTTTCAAACGAATACTCGTTTTGTAATTAAAATTTATTTTGTTATATCAATTTATTTTAGAAGCAATATATGTACTTCGTTTTATTTGTTACAGGAGTCATTATATTTTCAGTTTTAAAAAAACTGGCAATATTTTCAGTTTTAAATACATTTTTGGGTTTTCAAAGAATAATTATATTATCACAACTCCACTGTTAACTAAAATAATTCTATGTCTTTCAGCAATATTTATTCCAAGTCTGGTTCAAGACAGTATCCAGATGAATTGGATATGATAGAAACAAACCTCTACCTCAGTGGTGAGGCAGAAGCCAGGAATGTTGAAACTCTTAAAAAATACAAAATTACTCACATACTCACTATCAATGATTTCCCTTTAAGTGCTACCGTAAAAAGTGCCCTGGAATATCTTCAAATAAAGTATATCAGGCTTCCAGACTTAAGTTCTTCAGACTTACTATCTTATTTCGACGAGACCTATGAATTTATTAGAGAGGGTGTTGCCAAAGGAGCTGTTCTTGTGCATTGTCAAATGGGTGTATCCAGAAGTGCCTCAGTTGTTATAGCCTATATTATGAAGAAATATAATTTAACATACAGGTATTTTTAAATTTAGATATTATATTTGATAATAAACATACACTCTCATTATAATATGTATCATATAGCACTCCATCAGCTTCGCACATTTTATTCCTATATCTCATCTGTGGCACAGATAAAAATTACTCTTGGAGTAGTAGTCTCGAGGGTTAGAATTGCTATGATGCACTTGGGTCTAATGCGGATTCACGACTACAAGCATTTATAATCGATGCCAACCGAAGTTATCTACTTCTTTCAAGTGGTGTGGAAATGACAATAATATTAATTATATATGTTATGTACTTACATTAACTCGTTCAGTTTTAATCATCTCAGATCTATGATTAATATTGCTATTAATTGGATGACATTTATGATGACTTTAAAATTTTTACCCTTCAACAATCGTTGCAAATCGAATTCTAGTATCGATCTTTTATTTTTCTGTTTGTTTTACTACATCTTTTATTCAGATATTCTTTTAATTTTTTACTTTTCATTTAATGCCTGTATTTTGTTAGTTATTTTTCATGCAGTTTTTAATTTAATATATGATGACTAGAAACGAATTGATCGAGAGTAGTGAATTGATGTAAAGACCGCTGTTTCGTGGTGCTAACTTCCGTGACGCTCACCTCAACATTTTACTATAGAGAAAAACTAATACAACGCCAGTATAGAAGCTTCGCTTCAATAATAATTAAATATTAACAAACTACAATATTGATTGTTCAATTATTTCATAGGAATTAGGTATCAACTTCAGATATTCCATGGGCTATTTATACATTCGACATTCTAGTGTTAAACTATAAAATTTTAGGATTTACACAACAAATTCATCACTCTCGAATTAAGAGCTTTTACAGGGAAATATATTGTATTCTGATTTTAGGGAAGCTTTGGACAAAGTAAAAATGAAAAGATGCGTATTTCCTAACCCAGGATTTGTATCCCAATTGCAAAGCTATCGAGACATGGGATACACCACTATTAGAAGATATGATCCTAGACTTGCACGATACATGATGAGATGAACTAGTAGTCACTATTACAGTTCTCTTTATATCATGATTCACATATCACTTAAATATATTCACAATTAATGGTAATAATTGATATACAGGGTAGGTACAAATATAAAAATAAGTAAGATCAAACAATTGTGATATTGTTATCTACGTAATTTATGAAAACACAATGTTGAACAAAATTTGTTGTCTATTAACAGCCTTTGATTTTGTTCTTTTTTCCTAATTTTTAGTGTTATTACAAACAGTTTTTCAGCAATAATTTACCATTTCATTCTTCCTTTGCCATTTCATAATGTGAACCGAAGAAAACCAGAAACTCAATATTTTATATATTTTTTTTTTCTAGATCTCTTCGTTTGAATTGATTATCAAAACTAGAACGTTGAAAATTTTTTTGCCTTTGCGTTTCATTATCATATTAGAAACCTAATATTTTATATCTTTTTTTCTAGGCGTCTTTCATTAGTATTGATTATTTATCAAAACTAGTACTTGAAAGTTTTTGTGCTTTATCTTTTCATTGTCATTGTAATTGTATATTGTTTTGTCACGATTTTGGACATCCAAAGAATTTGCATAAAATTTTTATGGTATTTTTCTATCACAAAATACTTGACACTTGAGTATCATTTATTTCAATCATTTTGCGAAAAATTCCCTTTCAATATTGCCTACCAAGAATGAATAAGCAATATACATAAACGTATGTATATGCTATAATTTTGTTGTTTTCTTTGCACTCATCTTTACATTAGGTATGAGTTATTCGTATATATACCTTGCACGATTCTACGTCCTCAGTTGGAATTTTTTGCTTATTCCAAACCATAGACTATATTACGATCTTTAAGATAACTTGTAACATACGCATGTTTAGTTTCTTCTAATAAATCAACATCAAACATCACGCCACTAAAATAAATTATTATATTAATAACCAAGATCTGGGACAACTTCCGACCTTTAATATTTTCTAAAGATTTAACAGTAGGACCAACCTAATAAAGAAGATATTTATCTAATATAAGGTAGCGGTATTTTCTAAACTGATCACTAATAGGAGATATGAAATAGTTCTCTTTTTTTATTCAAGATCATCTAGTTCTGCTCCCTTCATGTTATTTAAGACCCTAACCGTTAGTCTAGGGTTTTCTGAAGACATAAAAGGTTGGTTGTAGGTGTATAGAGGTTTTATGTTTTTGTGTGGGCTCCTTTATATTGCTTTGTGAGTAATTCTATTATTTTAAATAATTTGTTTTGTTATTTTTGTTTCAGCAGGGATTTTAATTACTTCGTTATTTACTTGACACTTCATACGATCTACATATTTTTTATTTATTTCCAATATACCTACATATACCTAATGTCTTTCCGTCATTATTAGTTTTTCTCTAAATAGTTTGAGTTTGAGTTTTCTCTAAATAGTTAGAATTGTGAACTCATCATATCTGAATTTAATGCCTTATTTTGACGTTACGTGTTGATACAGTTGATAGTATAAATTTGAAGTTTGGAAATTATGTCTATTTCTTCTCTCGATATTTAAAATAATAGTGATGCTATTTGTACTTGCTAATATATTCGTTTTGGAACGTATTTGGAGATTTATTTACACGATAAGTTTTTGCGTATGGTTTTGGCATGTTCTATTATTTTATATATAATTTTTATACAGTTCTACAAGTGAGTATCCTATAACAACTGTAAATGTGTGAATAACACATATCCATTGAAAAATTGCATTTTACAGCATATTATGCTTTAAAATTTATTTGTTTTTTTACTTCCAGAAATACTTCTTTTTCCTTTTACCGTCTAGTAAACAATTATCGATCTGATGTTTATTGTTGTTTAGTGTCTTAGGGAGGAGTAGAATAATGTTAGAATAAGGGTGAAAATGAAAATGTTTAGTCTCTGTTACAATCTTTGAAATAATACTTTATGGTTTGGGCAAAATTGAAACTGTTTGTTATTTAACGTTCTCGCTTTATCAATAGGACTTTGTTTCAAAGCCGAAGTATTAAATGATATTTTATGATTATGTAGTTTTTCATATTATTATTATGTACATGTATATATTGTATTTCCATATTTTCCAGCAGGAGAATTACATTGTTTTCATAAAAATTGTAATTCTCCTTTTACGTTTGTCCACTTCGGGGTTTCATTTTCTACTTATTTCTTAAAAATTTCATTTCTTATGGGTTTTAGTTGGAATTTATCCTTTTCGGAACTTAAGGACGTATTCCCACACACAATTATTATGATTCTAATTTTTTTTTATTTATTTATTTTGCATAATTTGTGTTTGCTCTCTTTGTCTAAAATTCTTCCATTTTTAACGACAATAACATATCTGCTACACAAATCTTAGACACTACAGATAATGATATAATTCTGCTATCGGAGAAATATGCAAATCTGGCGAAAATTGAAATTTTCATATTTCGTCGAAGTTCCGTGTAATTTAAAAGTATCCAAATTAATCACTTTGGTATAAAATAAGCAGTAAAATTTTCCATATACTAGTCTTTATTCACCACAAATTGGTCGTTATATAAATGTAGTAATAAGCTAAGAACCTTATTTCTAAAGCACCCTCTGGGAGAATCAAAAACTTTGTGTGTAATATTCCTAAATTATATGGAACTTCTATATTTTTTTTACAAATTTATCCGAATTTTAGAAGGCCAGAACTTCACATAACTCATTAACATCTGTTCTCTAGGTGTCCAACATTCCACAAGTCAATATTTTTAAAGTTTACAAAAACTGATGTCTAAGATTTGTGCTGTTTAATAAAAATCACATTATGACAGTTACTATATATTACATATATTAGATCCTATTAATATTTAGAAGACTTATTGATTTGATACTATTTTTTACTTTTTAAAAATTAAAATTAAAAAAACACTTATATTCAGCACACTAAAATAATGTAGATAAAAAATTAGATGTTAGAAACAGAAATGTAAATCCTATGTTGTGGTTAAGATAATTGTTAACATTTGTCCAAACATTATTTTTTATTGTATTAGTAAAAATTCCAATTAAAAGTTTATTTTTCTAAATAGTTCTTTGCAGAAAAATAGAAGGATACATAGTTGAAACTTTTAACTACATATTTAACCCAAATAATAGTTTAGACCCTGAAGCTAAGCTATTACGAAACCTGCACTTAATTTTTGTTTACTTAGCTTCAATAATATTTGCAAATATGCTAAATTCCTAAATGCATTGAATATCTTTGGATATCATATTAGTTATTAAATCCCAAACTTCATTATAAATTCTCAAAAATTTGTTCTAGCCATTAATAATCAAAAGCTTCAGTGGAAGTAGTTGTTACTACTCCAAGGCCTTTTACTAGAAATAGTCAATAGCGCTTTGATGGAATCAAGTACACTTTTCTTCAATCTGGACAAAAGGTGATACAAAAATAGAATTAAATCCACACCATTCTTGACGTATTAAATTGGCCCAAATATTTCTTTTTCTTCGTCGTTTTGGTCTTTCCTATCTTATTACAACATGCACCTCACACCTTGCTGTTATGACTTCGTTTTTAACGTGGTGTCGTCTAGTCTTGCGTGTTTTGTTTAATATTGTCATTTCTGCTTCTCCAAGCATATTGCTCGTTTTATTAATGTCTTATCTCGTTTCTATTCCATATATAGCTGTAATATAGATTTTGTATATTATAACTTTATTGTTTGCTCTTACACATACTTTCTGCTTTGTTGATAAGGCTTTTTAAATCTTTTAAGAGGATCCTGACCTGTTCAGAGGTCAAGTTCTAGATATTTCTAGAGTCTTGTTCTACAGTCTTGTTTTTGACCAACGGTTTGTATCGTATTAAAATTCATGCAATTGTTTCTATGGATCGCTCTTGTTTCTTGTTTCGACTACGTCATCATGCAATTGTCACTCTATAGGTATATCGTAATCGAGAACGTGCTCCAACAAGGTGCTCTAGATCGAATGGAATGGAATTATTTACAGGAAGCCTATGTTCAACAGTGGACGCAACACGGCTAATGATAATGGTGATAAGGTATATCTATAATGCTCCATGTTTACGGAATAATATGAACATATGCAATGAATCATATCAAAATTACAAACCCTATGCTATAAAGCAGGCAATATTATCAAACGTATACAACGACAAAAATATTCAATTTTTTTTTAAACAATCATTTAATGATTTTAGACACATTTAGTGGAATCAACTGAATTCAGTCTAACTGTAAATTAGACACACTATCACAATGGTTTGTAAAATCCTCCAATGTACACCAAATGACAAATTCAATTTCCAGAAAAGATCCTCTATCTGTGTAATGCACTGAAGGTTTTGTTTCCAAAAGATAATTTCTGTCTCATAATGTTCCACATTGTCTTTTCTCTTCCATCATTATTGAGCACTTTTTTTAGTGTCTCAGTAGCTTTAATTGATGTTCATTCAGAAAAAAAATGTTCAAATTAATGTCGGTGTAATCTAACAGTCAATAAATCTATTTTTTCTGTAAAAGAACTGTTTGGGAATATCCACAAAAGTACAAAAATGTTATTATTAATATTGTTCTGAAGCTTTTTTATTCTTCCGTCGCAACTATTTTTACTGGGAATAAGCCACAATTTTATTTTAAAATAAGTTTATTCTGGCGTTTCCAATTCCACTTCGGATATAATTCTCAAATTACAAATCCTGAAGTGAAAATGTTAAAATAAACATATTTTAAAGTAAAATTGTGGCTTATTCCGAGTAAACATTCTAAATTGTATTATTATTAGTGTTAATAATTTTTTTCTAGTCAATTGTTGTGGTTATATATTTTAATAGAAGATATTTTTTGCATTATTTAAAAATTGTTTTTCATAACTTAATAGTCTACTAATAATTGTACACTTATACTGTTTGCTTGATTTTATTTTCAATAAAGTGTATAAAAATGTCAAATAGTTTTGCAACTTTATATGTCTACCAGATTTTTTAT